GGCCGGGTTGGCAGCCTGGCACAGGTTACGCGCGGCTCCTGTTTCTGGTGCTGGGCCCATCTCTCCCCTCCTGCCCCCCCGGTGCCTGCTGGCTCTGTGTGCTCTGGCAGCCTGGGGCACGGGGGGACAGCGGGGGGGCCCGGGGCTGCCCCAGTGTGGCCGGGACCTGTGGTAGCCTGGAGGCCAGCAGCCCCCCTGCCCCTCGCCAGCATCCCTGGTGCCCCTCTCTCTGCCCCGCACACCCTCCCCCTTGCAGCGTGTCCTGCTGCCGCTCGCGCGGGGGGGTCGGGTCTGGGGAGTGCGATATCCTCCGTGTTACTGAGGCTGAACATCAGCGGTTCCTCCAGGGAACGTTCCTCTCCCCCCCCAGGCTGCCGCTCGGCCCTGTGCTGCTGAGTCACCGGGATGCTCTCCTTGGCAAGAAGGAGACGGCAGCTGCCAAAATGCCTCCTGTGGGGGCTGAGCCTCCCTGGGCTGCGGTGTTTCCTCTCCGCCAAGCGCTGCGCAGAAAGAGTGCTCTGACATAAAACCACGCTGCGAGAACGCTCCTGGGACAATGCGGTGCCGCTGAACGGTTTCCAAGACAGAGGGCTGCGCTTCCTCCTATTCATCCCTCCTGCCGGGTCAAAGTGACGTGTCCTCCTGGGGGGGCCGGTGTCCCCCCTCCCGGGCTGCCTGGCAGGACGGGGCAGTTCCAGACCGAGTCAGAGTCCCGGCCCGGGGAGGCTGATGCTGGTCAACGCGGCGCTGGCCGCCAGCAGCTCTGCCCTCTGCCCCCCTGTCCCGCGGGACGTGTCCCTCTGCCCGAGCACAGGCCGGGCACGGCTCCTCGTGGGCCTCCGATGCCTGACGGGGAGGCCCTGCCGTCCCGCGGGATTCCTGCCACAGCCGCCACCTGCTTCCACACTCTGGGGACGCTTCTTCACCCCCGGGCTGCACCGGGCGACTGCAGCGGAGCAGAAACTCTCCTCGAGTGGGTGCAAAGCTGGCGAGAGTCTCCTGCAGCCTCCAGAGCTGCAGGGATTGTGCAGGCTGATCCACACCAGGTTTCTGCTTCACTCAGCATCCTTTGAGGGTTTCTGCTGGACCTGGACGTGGGTGTTTCCTTCCCCGCGGAGCCTCCCTGCTCCCAGGTCCTTCCCTCCCTCCTTGCCCGGGTTTGCTGTGCAGAGCGGAGGAGATGTAAGGTTACGGCATCACCTCGTTTCTGGACAAAGCTTTGTGAAAACGGTGATGAAAACGATTCCTTTTAATTTCTAGGGGAGGACCGGAGGAACAATTTTCCCAAGCCCTTTTTAAATGAAAAGCTTATTGCGAAGGAGTGGAGGTTTTAATGCCTGTCAGGTTTTAATGCCATTTTTCCTCGCCAAGAGCAGCTCTCTTGCTGGTTCTGCCCGTCTCTGCAGGGCAGGAGGAGCTGAGCTCACCGGGGCACGGGGAGCACTGGCACCAGGACCGATAACCTCCTGCCAGCCTGCTGCCGGGATAAACACTGATTTAAAAACTACTAACCCAGGAATTAGGCTTAAATTATGCTGTTCTTAATTTCTCAAGCAATGTTTAGCACTAAAAAAACCTAAGTTTCATCCTTCTTCTGTGTTGCCGAGCCCCAAAGGAGGTAGGGTGAAGCCAGAGAGATATTTCGTGGTGAAAGAATGACATGTTGGTGGCATTTATGGCAGAACAGAAGTAAATTAGACATCTAGATCATAAAAGTACTGGAGGATGTTTTAAAAGAGGCTCTTTGCAGCAGTGCATTAGTTGACTGCACAGCTTTACTGTGTAATGAGCAATATATTAATTTATAATTAGTGTAATACAGTGAAGCTCAGCAAATAGCTCTGTGCACTCTGGATAATTCATCAGCAGAAGAAGCAGCTCTTAATGGTTTCCAAGGTTTGCCTGTCCCCTGTAATTGGGAAGTTTGGAATTTATTGTTATTTCGTCCAAGGGATAATTTGATTGCAAGCACACGTCTTCATCCCGCGCCGAGGAGCCTCTGGAGCGCTGCGGCCCCGGGCGCGCGTGACCTCCCCGCAGGTGGGTGCAGTCGGGGTTTTGCAGAGCAGATCGCTGGGAGCTGGTGCAATCTCCTGCGGGTTTTTACCGTCACTCCTCCCCTCCTTGGGTCACTTGGCTTTTCCCCCTCTGCTGCTGCCGAAACTCCCTCACCCCCGTGAGGTCACCTGTGAGGTCTCTGTGATAAAACTCTGCTCTCGGCCTCCGGAGCCGCCACTTCTGGTGTGACATCACCTGGCAGCAGGAGCACGGAAGGACAATAGCCAGTGTGCGGTAACAAGGCTGACCGGGATTTACGGAGCCTTTAGGGATTTTATTTTTCAGGTTGGAAGCCCAGAGGCTGTGGGACTGGGCTCTGCCTGTGCGGAGGGTGCCCAGGCTCCCTCCTGCACCCCGAGATGCCCCGTGCCAGCCAAGCCTCCCCAGAAGGGAGCAAAACCCTCAGAGCTGGGGGCTGAGACAGCCCGGAGGCACCCGTGTGCCTCAGAGCAAGGGGATAAATAAGTTTGAGTCTTAACTCAGTGACCCACTGAAAATGGGGTGTGACAAATCTTCCCCAGGGATAGAACGTCAGGAGTTCTGCCTCTTCCAGCTTTAATAAAATCGTTTGTGTGTTGCTGCCGGTAAGTTGATTGCACTGAGGATTTAAAGTCTTCTGGCGAGCCCAGCTGCCTCGGCAGAACCCTCTGACACAAGTGGTTGTCGAAAACCCCGAGTTTTCCTCCTGAGGAAAAGCCAGCTGGTCGTCTGGCGGGTTCAGGGGGGGCCAGGTAGGGGCCGGCCGGCCAGTCTACGGGGAAAAGATTTCTTACCCGCTAGAGGGGATGTTCATCACTAAGGTTTTCTAGCGCAGCTCTTCTCCTTGCCACACTTGTTATGGATACTAAGCAGTCCTCCCCCTGTGTCCTGCCCCTCGCCCTCCCCGGTAAAATAACGGGCTCCTGGGAGTCTCACAGCCCGCGGGAGAGCAAAGCTGAGAGCTGCTCTGGGCAGGCAAAGGAGAAGTCGCGGGGAGGAGGAATTACTGTGCTCGCTGCCAGCGGAATGTAAATGAAATCAGTTTTACTGAAGTCTTAATTCTTCCCCCTGCATTGAGATGCTGTGATCTGGAAAGCAGCAAGTTTGTATTTCTGAACCATTACATCAATAAAGAGCTTGATTTTTGTGGGCTTCCTTATTGAATAATCTGGCTTAATTTAATTGGAATTTGGCTGGTGTGAAAGGTAGTTTTGATTGCATCTGCTCTTGATCATTTCCATTACAACTTTGCGATCTGAAAAGTAATAGGTTTATATTTACTTATCATAGCAATAGAGACCTGAATTGGCAGACTCTCTATCAAATCACCTGATGAATATACACAGCAGATTTAATTTAGCTTCATATTGATTTTTGCCATTATTATTAAACCCCTCTGATCTGAAGAATGAGATGCTTGTATTTCTTTAATATCTTATTACTGGGGTTTGGGTTAATCTTGCAGAGCTTTTCCCTTTTTCTTTTGAGCAACCAAGACTAATTAATTGGAATTTAACATATGGCAATTTCTACTCTTAAAGGGAAAAAAAGAACTGAGTTGCCTTAGATAAAATATCAGAGCAACCTGTTCTTATCACGGGCCTCTTAAAGCCGGGGTCCTTTCCCCTGGCTCCTTCGGGTGCCCCAGGGAAGCGGCGGCCAAGGTCTGGTGTCCCCAGGAGCTGGTGGGTGCCCTTGGGACGTCTGCCTCTGCCCGGAGGGGCCGTGCTGGGGGGAGCCCCCCTGGGGCTGGGCCCTGCGCTCTGCTTTCTCCAGCACAGATTGGTTCCCCTGATCTGGAGCTGTTATAAATCAAACCGAGATTAAAGAGGGACAGGTCCAGGTTTCTGCTGCGGACACGTGAAGGGGAGAGAAACCTTCCGCAGCGGGGGGACCGGCCCTGCCCCGTGTCCTTTCCTGGGGAAAAGCGGAAACCTCTGCTGTGGGGTGCTGCGGGGGTGCGGGGGTTTGCTCGAGACCCGCTCGGATCAGCGGAAGGAAAACGGGGCAGGGGAGGCTGGTCAGGAGCGAGCAGGGGCTCTGGGAAGCGACGCAGGCTGAGAGCAAAGCCCCGGGCGCGGGTGCTGGGTGGCAGCGAGGGGCCCGGCTCTGCGGTGGCCGGGGTGTCCCCGGGTGTGTGGAGAGGGAGGTGCTGCCCCCCCCGCGCTTGGGGGCCACAGGGCTTGTACAGACCCGGGGCCAGCGGGTGCTGGGCGAGGTTGCCCCCAGCGTGGCACTTGCCCGGGCCTTCGGCTGAGCCCCGTGCGAGAGGGGACGCACGGAGGCTTCGGTGAGCTCGTGGGGAGAAAATGTCTGGGAGAGCTGCAAACTGCCCACACGTGGGTGCCTGAACAGCTCATTGATCTGTAACTCAGATCCCTCCTAGAAACCGTTCAGTGCCTCCAGCTGGGCTGGAAAGGTCTGGGAGGGAACCGAGCCGTCTTCAAAAACCAGAGGCTTTCCCTGATACACAAACGGGTTTGAGTAAAGC